TAAAGGGAATGTCAGAATGCGTTTGATTGATGTTTGGATTGATGTGTGATTCTCTTGTTGATTATTGTGTTATGCATTGTTGTTTGATCACTTGGTTTAATTGTTATGATTTTCGCTGGTTTGATGTGATGGTTTGATTGAGTTATTGAGAGTTAGCATTTATGGAAATGCTAATTCGAGCCCAATGTTAATTAAAAACAAAAAAAAATGGGTCAGGTTGTTTCAGTTTGGTATCAGAGCCCTTATGGTTCTAGGGCGGGTGCACTTGATTTATTGATTGTGTGAGTTAGTCAATTAATTGTTGTGTGGGTTTGGAGTCCTAGATCATCTTCTTCGAGCCTTCAAAGAGATTCCACGGTATGTGTTGTTTGACTTTTCTAACTTTCTAGTATTCTTAGTTTCTGCTTCCGGTAGTGAAGAGAAATGGTTAGAGGTACTAGAGTTTCTGCTGTGGGTAGTGCAGAGAGAGATGGCTAGAGTTGCTAGAGATAGAGGCTGTAGTGATTGTGGAGGCCATGGTGGTCACGGAGGTGGGTGCGTGCGGGTACTTGTGAGTGAGTCTGTTGCCGTGTGTGTGGCCCAGGGTTCCGCAAGGGAGCAGGTGGCAGATTCGCAGACGTTTCAGGAGGGGTCCGTGGGTTTGGCTAGTGTGAATGCTAGTGTGAGGACTGGTGGGACTAGTGAGGGTTCCGGTATGACCAGTGTTGCGGTGGGTGCTGTCGCGAGGTTAGCTCAGGACCGAGATGATCGTCTGGCGAGTTTGCTATAGTTGATCTTGGAGCGGTTACCGGGAGGGGTGCTGGCTCAGGGTCAGGCTCCGAGAGTGCAGCCGGGTATGGTTGGCGTGCAGCCGGGTGTGGCTGGTGTTCAGCCGGGAGTGGCTGGTGTGAAGCCGAGGGTTGCGGTTGCGGATAAGCTTCCATCTTATCTAAGGATGATGGAGCATCTGCAGAAGATGCGTATTTCTTATGATTTGGACAACAGGAGTAGTTCTGGTCAGTGATGCTTATTGATCGTTTAGGAATTATTGCTCTAGGGTATGATTAGTTACCCGAACAACTCATTAGGAGATGGTTGTTCTCCTGAGGGGATGGTGGTTCCCCTGTATTTTTTTTAGTATTTTACTAGGGGATGGTGGTTCTCCTGTATTATACTTGAGAGATGGTGGTTCTCTTGAGGGGATGGTGGTTCCCCTGCAGATACCGAGAGCTCGAAGGATGCGTTCCTGAGAGTGGGAGGGTGTACTGATGAGTTGGGAGCAATTAATGTCTGGAAACGTGTTAATAAGCATATGACTAGATGCGGACCTCAGAGATCATGTGATTTGATCTATAGTGGTTGAGAACATAGTGGGCGGTATTGCATTGTACTGGGGTATAAGTAGTTATCCAGTATTTAACTAGTATTTAACTGAGCGATGAGTAGTTCTCTGGAGGGGATGAGTAGTTCTTCTCTATACCGAGTAGACCTGGTGATATGATCCTCCCTAGATTCGTCACAAAGAAGCTGGCTGGAACTGAGTTAGAGACAGAAACTTGCGMAATAGTTTCTGGGTTTGAGAGAGAGAGACGGTGAAGAGGTTGCAGCAGCAACGAACCGTTCCTAAGAGATAGATACGTTGGGAATGAGCCTCCAACAAGTGATTTCGTTCCTAAGAACAAGAGAGAGGTTTTCGTGACTTATGTTTGAGAGAAAGAGAGTTTTTATTTGATAATTGTT